TCAACATTAAGATTTTCATCGCTATAAAAGATGTAATAGTCCAGTCAAACAAAGACAGATAAAGACAAATAGGGAAAAGTTTTGTTGTAGTCGAAAAGTTCAATTAGTGTTTTCCAAAAAAGCATGCATTTTCGCAAGACTAAGACCGCTTAACTATAGCAAGACTGAGGCCAAGACTGACCCTGCAAGATTTGAGCAAGAACAGGACTGACCTGCAATACTCTGACGTCTCGCAGTTCAATCAAACTGAAACTTAGGCGTTGTATTTGGTTTCACCATCGATATTTATAGACGTTCCCTAGTGTCGATATCAAACCACGGTAATTATATTTCGAAATATAACAGTAATATACTTATAATATAGTAAGGTGATTTAACATTTTAACCTTGTATTAAATATTAAGAGTGTTTTTTTTTTTTTTTTTTTTTTTTTTTTTTTTTTTTTGATGAATCGTGAAATTAAGCTTAGCTCTCCGAATAATAACAAAACACTAAACATTTACTAGCAGCGAAGGCAATAAAAATGAAAACCGCGTTTTTGTTAATAAAAATTAAGACAAAATAGTTAACAGGACAATTTTTGTTAAGCTAACTTTATTGATTTAGTTGGAATTTACTATGTCTATGTAAATATAATATAATCTGAGAAATGTACATACGATGTTTTATGATCTAAACTAATATGCTTAATAAATAGCAATATGCTAATAAATAATGTAAAGACTTGTGAGACTCTTACTGCAAGACCAAGACTAGATGTGTTAACGCATTTGACTAATTTCAGTACATAGCAGGATTTTTGTTTGCTAAATCCGGTTCCGAAAGAAGTTTAGCACGTAACGTTTCTTTTTTTTTCAAGTCCAGCAAAATGGTCTCTGTGTGTATGTATGTGTGTTTTTGTGTGTGAGTGAGTGATCAGCGTAGCTTAAAAACGAAAAGTTGCACAAAACTGATATTACGTATTTAAGGTTTTTATACGTCTGATATATTACAGCAACTTTTTCGACAAAATCAGTGCCGCTTTATAAAATCGATTATACACATTTTCACAATTGTCTTGCAAACTTCTCTGACGATTTTGATTAAACTCATTATATCAATGTATTAGAAAGTGATTTTAGTTAAAGGTAGATCTCATTTATGTTCTCTAACAGAGCTTAAATACAGATTTTTCAAAATTTCTTCATCTAAAGTACCTTTAATTTTGTTTATTTAAAGTAATTAACTATTTCACATTAGAACTACTAATGTAAAACAGATAAATACAAATTTTGAACGAATTTGGTAAATAACTAAAGGAGAAATAACGGGTAGCACTCCTGGATAGATAGCTGGGATGGTAACTGTTAAAGCGGAAATATCCGAGGGCGCCAGTGGCGGATCCAGGCATTTTCTCAGGGGGTGGCGCACCTCAGTACCAGGTGCTTTCCCCACCCCTATCCGTTCCCCCACCACTACCCATCTCTCCCCACTCCTTAGCTTAGTTTAGCCGCTCAAAAGTAATCTTTAAATAGTTTCAACAAAAACCAACTCTACTTTTATTTAAAGTAAAATAGTTCACAGTGAAGCAGTCGTTAATTACTTAATTTAAATAGTAGTTTTATCACTTCCTATTCAACGAAAAACGTGACTTACATAAAAAATCACAAAACTTTAATTCTCTGCTTTCCTGCCGAAAATCGAACCATTGTTTATGTAAAATTTTTGTATTTATTGAGTTCTGCTATCACTCCTTTAAATACTTGCCTCTACTTACGAGACACCCTGTGTATGCGTTTAGACATAGGCGTAAAAAACTAAATTGCTAACACGAGTCACTAACTTTTTTACAGCCAAAAAATCCAGATTTATCTGATCTTTTTTACTTTCCTACCTATACTAGGTAAGGAAAGTATTGCGATCGGGTCAAATTTCCGATATGCGGTTTTCGACGAATCTATACGTTTCAGAGCCCCCTGAGTCTGTCTGTCTTTGCCAAGATTTTCTCGGTAACTACTGAACCGATTTTGTTACTTCTTTTTTTAATTTGCAGGGTTTTGACTACTGATGCCTGTGTCAGATATTCGGTGCTCCATGGAATCAGGAACTGGTTGAGTACAGGACAGGGAAACATGGAGAAAAACTCTTGAGGCAGCCAAGATCCAGTAATGGATTGTCGAGCTCGGGATAATGATATTGATGACATTATATCATTTTACATTATATAAATATACCAAACATTCCAACCTTCTGAGATGCCTGAGGCTGCGTGGAGGCTACAAGAGGACATCGACTGCATCAACGGATGGGCAGAAATAAATGAATTAAAGCTGAATGCAGATAAAACGAAGGCTATTATCATCGGGTCTAGACATCTCATCAGCTCCCTTCCTTACTTTACCTCAATAACCATCCCATCCATTTTTCCCTACAGTCAAAGACCTAGGAGTAATCTTTGATCAGAACCTCTCCTGGGATAATCATATCTCCCAGATTACCCGAAAATCCATAACTGCCCTTAAACAACTCCTAAGATTCCGTGATTGTATTCCTCTAAAAACCAGACAGCTCCTTGTAACCTCCCTTGTATTCCCCCACTTCGACTATGGCTGTTTGGTGTATGGAGGGCTATCTCCCAGGCTGGAAATGAGACTAAAAAGACTCATGAATTGTTTCATAAGATACATTTTCGGGATCCCCAGGCGTTCACATGTTTCACTATGGTACACCGAGTTGAAGTGGCTTTATCCTACTTCCCGACGACAATTCCTTCTTGGCGTTTTCCTTTTCCAAGTCTTCAGAACCAAAAACCCTCCCTACATCCTGGAACTCCTTACTCTGCGCTCCTCTATCCACTCTCTCAATACTAGGTCACAACCTATAGACTTATATATTCCCTCCCATAAAATTAGAGGATGATTTTTTCCTATATTTTTCTTTTCTTTAAATTGGCGTTTTTTTTTGTTTTTTTTTTTTTTTTTACTTTTTTCCACTATCCTAGGGAGGGATTTTTTCATAATCCTCCAACTGGACTGAAGATACCACTATTTTAGAAAAACCTCCTTGTTCGATAAACTATAAGTCTATATACAGCATTCCTGTTTAAGTGGTTTTACTTGCATTTGATCTAGTTTACTATGAAATAAATGGTTGTAACCTAAATTAAAATTTTGTTTAAGTTATTGCGTTCTATTCACCATAAAACACGAATGACTTAAAAATCACAAAATTTTCTGGTGCTCTGTATGTAAACAGACCATGGCAACTTTTTATAGGTTTTAAAGTCTGCTGTCACATATTATTAATTAAATGAAATTAATAGTCCATCTAAACTTCTTATATAAATATCACGAAATCCACCATTGATTGATATCGAAAATAATTCTGTTGCCGATGACTTTTTAGAATCATTAAAAAAAAAAGTTTGAATAATAATTTGTACGATTGAAAATTTTAAAAATATGAATTAAATTTATAATGACATCATCTAGTATGGAAAACATCAATTTCGTGGTTTAGAGCATTTTCTGCTTAAAGTGGATATCCAATGAATATAAATTCATAAATACCTCCGTAATCACTGATTTTATAATAAAAAAAAATGTTGTGTCATTTTTATATAGATTTTAAAGTACTTTAATATTACAAAAAGCCTTTGACTAACCTTTGCAAAAAATATGATAGTTTTGGAGATATTTTCAAAAATATAAAAAAAAAGATTTCTGTTCTCCTCACCCCATTAAAATCCGACGCAGGATTCTTTGGGACTTTTTACCAGTTATTATGGGAAGGGTAATTTTGGACAAGTTTTATCTTTATTTTTTTAATGTTGAGGTAAGGCTGTTTTTTTCCCTAACTTAACTGTACTAAAAGGTTAGTATAGGCTGTTGTAAAATACACATACTTAATAAAATATGGGCTTCGCTAATATAATATAGACATATAGATGCGCGATTTTCATTTATACTAGAGTTAGTATTGTTTAATTTTTAATTGTATAGATTACAGCAATATAAAAATAAACATTTGTATATAAACTATGAACAAATAAAAATACCTACAATGAAATACACAAATATATGTAGCGGCCTTCTTTATGTGTGGTTCACCATATTATAGTAATTAAGTGTCGTAAATTATATTTAATACTATCCATAACTTTTCCATTCCCTTCCCTTTGTCAGAAAATACCTATTTCTGCTTTAAAATTAGTGGTAAGTGAACGTTGTGTGATGCGCTCACCGGATCCAATTTTGTTTCTCGATTACCCCTAAAGAGAGCACATGTTATAGTATAGTATCAGTGGACCCGCTCATTTCTCATATGTCATATACCAATTTGAATAGGTAGTAGGGTTTAGCTACTTCTACCAAGTTCTAGCGCGTTGGCGTTGGGGTGTCTTCGTTGGCCGTTGGTTTTCGGTACCATTTCGCTAGAGCCCTTATTTCTGCTTTGGTTAGTTATAAATTTCTTTACAAATTTACATTTATCCATTTTGTATTACTACTACCACTGTGAGGTTGTCAGTTATTTCAAATAAACAACATAAAGTTAATTTGTAGGACGAAATTTTGATAGATATCTAAATATTTAATTTATAAGGAATTGAAAATAAAAATCAATTTCTCTTCCGCATAATATAGTGTATTTATTTATTTGAATATTATATTAAGATCTGATCACTGGCCGATATAACCTACGAATTATTAGCACAGGCCAACTAGTAAATGAATAAACTAAATAGCTAGTAAATAAAACAAACAACTAATCTTCATCATTTAAATATTAAAACGTACTGAAGTATTTTGGAAATCCTTGCAAACTTCGAATATAATTGATAACTCGCAAGCTTTTAGTTTTTAATAATGTTTCTAACGTCCGCTGGATTTCCAAACATAAAAGAAGACAAGAGTTCAATAGGACCATGGCGGATGATGTAAGACGAATCCATGCGAAGTAGTTGATGAAGAGGTGGAGGTAAGAAGCGATTAGGGTAGAACCAACTGTCCCTTCCAGGAGCACTATTGTTCCAGTCCTTTGTCAAAGGGAAGGAGGGAAGATTTAGGAGGATCCGCGCCTGCCGCCTCCTCATCGATACCGCCCCCGCCCTTTTGTTCTCCCTCTTCACAGTCCTCTCCTTCAATGCCTCCAGAGGGTTCTAGCAACTCGTTTTTTTTCACTTAAGTACCCTGTAGTTTCTTTAGGAGTGGAAATTTCAGTAGATAGGCAAAGTTGATGAGCGACCTAATTTAAACAACCTCGGAAGTTGCCTACTCAGCATTTTAAAAGATATTTCCCTAAGAAAAATCCTTAAAAATGACTCTTAGCGATTCACAGTATTCAATGAATATGGTGAAGTTTCAGGCGAGAATATTGAACCTTTTAATAAAAAGTAATAGATCCTGTCGTTCTCATCTTCTTTCAGATAAAAGTTTTAGACAAAAATTTAATATTTTAAGCATTATACTACAAAAACTGATATACATATACATACGGTTGCAGAAAGATATCGAAACAAAGAAGAGCTCATGGCAGGATGGCAGTAAAATGGTCAAGCTCCCCCCCAACCTCCAGCTTATAGAAATTTTAAATAGAGTAGCGACAATTGTAAACAACAACCAATGATAGAAACAACCAGAAGGGTTCTGTTTCAAAACAATTAAATTTCTTAAATCATAAAAAATATTAGTCTGTGCTATGTAGTAGTTGTTCCTCTGCTATCTTTAAACTCCAATTGTCATACATATTTTCTTTGTACTTTGCCTATTGTTTCAGGTTGCCCTGGGGTTATTAACAAGCTGTATAGGAGACTAAAATTATTAACAACTTCTAGAGACGAGCGGAGTCACCTTCTCTGTACTTATCTGGATAACTCTCTGCAGAAGAGATGACCGGATGGGCTTACGCGTGTGCACAGCACCGCGAGTTGCCAGGCAACCAGATAACCGAAGTTATGAGATTCAAAAAAAGTAAGAGTTCGCGTCCCGGTGCCGGAGGGGATTTTAAATTCCCCGCCCTCATCCTCCGGTCCGGGGAAATCCTGTATAGCCAGCGTGGTAGGGAAGAACAAAAAAAAAAATCTATCAACAGACGGGTCCTAGTAATACGTCCTGTAATAGTTAAGTTCTGCTGAGGATCTAGTGCTGAGAGCTATGATCTAACCACCTTTTTTTTTTTTTTTTTTTGAGGGAATACAAACATTCTGAAGACAAGTTGGCCTCCATTGGTTGATTAATAACGCAGAAGTCAATTCATAGGCAACTTGCTTCTAATGTGGGCAGATTTCATGGAAAATAATTAAATTAATCATAAGAATTTGATATTTAGAACCTGAAACACTAAGTCTTTTACAGGGGGAAAGAGGTTGAACTAGCGTAAGAAATAAAAATTAATGAAATGGATATACTCAGCATTAAGGAGGTAAGGAAGAAAGAAAATAATAAACTGAAGCTACGGAGTGATTATGCCCTTGTATCTGCTAGATTTCCTCAATAAAATTTAGCGAAAGGAGTAGGTATAGCCAAGACTCCAACAATGCATAACAGACTGGAAGATGGGGAGCCTTTCTCATCAAGAATAAATGCAGTAACTTTGTCGTTGATCATCGAGAAATTTATTTATTGTAAAAAAATGAACAAACAGAGGACGCAGGAATCATGGACAAAACGCATTCTATTCGGATATGCAAATATTACTCAACAAAATCAAGGATAATGGATGATTCCCTATATTGAATGGAGACTTTAATGCAAGAACGGTGCTTCGGTACCTATGAACTTCATGAAGGGGAGAAGGTAAGTAATAAAAATGTATAACACCTTGTAGATTTCTGTGTACATCATGACGAACTGGGTGGAAACAGTATCCAATGGAAAGGATTGGTGGATCAAAAAAAAAAAGAACAGCATGAAAGAAGTTTGAAAAACGCCTCGATGAAGACCACTGTGAGTATTAAGAAATTCTGCCGCAAAGTAAAGAACTTGAGATAGAAAAGGAGGAAAAAAAAAAGGCAAAGATAATTGAAAGGCATTGAGATTACAACACTATTGACCCTATTAATAAGAAAGATAACTCCACCGACTGTGAGCACAGTATGTGTGTACATATAATTATAGGCCAATAAACCTACTTTCGGTGACTTACACAGAATACATCTCAATTTTGAAAATGAGACTAAGGCTCGTAATTGAGAAACAAACAGAATTCGAATTGAGATTTACAGCATGATTTATTATACGGAAACATACTCAAGACCTCATCTTGGTACTAATACGATCCCCAGAGAAAGCATATGGAAGAAAAATAAACTTGTGTGACTTTTCTCTCTGTTAGTGTATGTTGAATTTTTCTTCCTCAGAATTTTATAGATGTTACTAAACTTCTCCCCTTCCCATCTTTGCGTCTCTATTTTCTAAAATTATTTTCAAGTAATCTTGTGGTCGTTATCTCAGGATCACTCGAGTTTATCATAAAATAGCATTTGATTTTTTTTGATTTTTTTTTTTTTACGCTTTCTAGCCAATTTAGGCTATACGGGAGTTTTTCCCGGGCCAGGCCAGGAGATGAGGGCAGGAGAATTAATACCAGAGGTCAACCCTTTCCCATTCCCGGCACCGGATCCCGAATTCGTACTTATTTGATCAAATTATATCTTTCATGAGGTTGCCGGGGAACGCGGTGCTTGCATAATTAATAACTTATAATTATATAAAAAGTTCTTTTGAAATTAAAGCGTAACAAAGCCAATCCTGACCAAGAAGTCATCACAAATAAATGTATAATTCTTCAAATCATTGTTTTGTTTTTTATTTTGATTGAAATGCTTTTGAGAATGTCTGTTAAAGGAATGCATCCCAAGAGGCTCTGCGCCACAATGCGCCGCATCGCACAGTGGGATTAATGACCAATCTAGGTGGAAAAAACTAAGGAAAAAAAGTAAGAAATCACCTAGGAACAATGTAATAAATGTAAATATGGTAATAAATGAATATATATATTGCACGTGCTTATATAGGAATAAATGAAAAATAAAATGGAGGATAAGAAAAAAAAAAAATATATATATATATATTTGGTTATATATGGTTGACGTTATATATGGTTATAAGAAGGATGTTCTCAAGGATCTTCGGTCACATATTTGGTGAATTTCAAATACAAAAAAAAAAAGGACTTTTTTGTATTTCGTAATTTACGAAAATACAAGATCAAAAAAATTATTAATATTAATAATATTTTATAATGATATTAATGTATTAATGTATTAATGCTGAATTCGAAAAATATTTTATTTAAGATACTAGTCAGGTTTGACCCAATACTTCAATTGCAGTTGGTATCGTGATTTAACTGAGACATCTCTGGTGAACGCATTTTATTTCTGCGCCTCGCGTACCAATTACATCTTAAATTTTATTGATTTTACCTCGAGTATAGCTGTCCTCGAATCGTTTAAAAGAGCGACCGATATTTGAAGAAGAAGTATTTAGCGAAGTTTCTTCACCACAAGACCTCAAATTTGATTGTAATGGACAACCAAAAAATATCTTAAAAGACTGCTTCAACACATTCTGGCTCTTTCATTTTAATTTTTGCATCTGCCATAATACTTGAGATAATTTCTTAACCCAGCAAAAGAGAGACGTTTTCCGACTCGAATCGTTGCTAAATATAGACTTAATTAAATATAGGCAACATATCAGTAGGATTTTTCCAAATGCCGAATAACTCCCTTATTTAAATACAATATTTTTTAAAACAAAATAATGTCACAAAAGGCAATAAAATCTTTTATTTTTCTTTAATATACCTATTAAGCAACATCTGAGAAAATTTTCACAGGTGTATTTTTGGATATATTTTGGTAAATTACTTCTGAAGTTATAAAATTATATTATTTTCGAGCATTCAGAAATTAATAAGTTAATTGGTCAAATTATGTATTGATAATTTGATGAATGAGTAACATAAATACTAGGCATCTATCTATACCTATCAAATAAAAATTATTATAGCAAAAAAAAATTAACTAGTGGTACTAAGCTCATATGAAAGATAAGACAATAATTGAACAAAACATGAGCTATCAAACATAGTTGTTAAGAGGGTTTTAATTATCGTGGAAACCGCTAAAATCAAAACAACCACCTTCAAAAGTCAAATTACAAGCATGAAAAATATTAAGACAGTATATATATTATGTCAATAAAAAAAATTGTTAGCACATCAAATTCCTTTAAAAAAGGAGAACATTTAAAAAATAAGATAGTCTACTTTTAATAAACTATCTATCTTTCTGAAGTGGAACCCTTGTGATTGGTATAATACCTATTGCCGTTAAGTCAATTTGAAGAAATTTTAATGGATTGTGAGAGTTGGTATCTAAACAGTCTAATATAGATTTTATCAAATTCCATCTCGACTTTCACCTCGGAGTGCGATTTCATTTCATTTTGCTACGATAAAAAACGACTTCTTTCGTATGTTTTATTCTTGAAGGACTAATCAAAGACCTATAGGTAACGAAGTAACCAACAGAATCAGCGAGCAAGCTATTCTGACCTTACGTGGCTGACTTCTTTTTTTTTTTTTAATAATATTAGTTGCAGATGAAGAACTGAAAAACAGAAATGATTTAACGTTATAAAAAAACAAAACCACTCACCGGGATACTTTTTCTTGTGTTCTGCGTCGACACGCCTTGCTAATGCGAAGTACAGTTCTTTTTCATCGGCTGCCATGTCTTTCCAGAGCTTCCCCAACCTGAAAAGAAAACCACGTCTATAAAATTTGCGAAATCATTTCCAAAGCGTTTACCTTGTGCAGCTGCAATTTATGCAGTTATAAATAACATCCGTTCAAAGAGTACGTTAACGTTCGCATTGTGGCACTTGTTATGATAGGCCAGATAAATTTAGAAAGTCTTGGATAGATCACAAGGCAGGAAATGAAGGAAATGGGTGACATTAAGGAATTATTTCTAATTTAATTTTTAGTAATATTTTTCCCGAAAATAATAGCTTTTGTACTTTTTTGAAGGACACTGGATGGAGGTGGGGTTGCATTTTATCTATCCAATTGCATTTACATTTTATCTATCCAAACTTCGGTTATGAGGTTACCGGGCGATCCATGTTGCCTCCCTCTCACCTCCCTATTCAGGTGGGCAGCTGTCGCCCTTCGAAGAAGAAATCGAAAATATTTAGATGTCAATTTTCGAACATTAAAGCAATAATGGTTGACTGTAGTGAATAATTGAAGAGAAGTTGATTGGGGTGTTCAATCACTTTTTCTAACTTTGCTATCATTATTTTGTATTGCCTTTATTTATATTTCATATGTTTGTCTCTCTGTTTATTTATTAATGTTAACTTTATTTTACATTCCTGTTATTGCACGATTCCGTTCACGTACTTATTATTATTATTTTCTTTTGAATGTTAATAGTTTCTAATACCTATTGTTATCTTGTCTTTTTTAGCCCTGAAGAAAGCCTGAGCTTTAGGCAGAAACGTGGGCAAAAATAAAAATAAATGTTTTTTTATTTTACTTTGTTATTTTGACTGAACACCCCAACCAACTTCTCTTCATTTATTAAAGTATTAATTCGATAAGCAAAATCCTAATGCATGTATGAGATATTGTTAACATATGAAATTTTGTTTATTTGTAAATAGCCAATAAAATTTAAACTAATGAAAATGGGACAACACTTTTACTTTCACTTACCGATATATGTAATATATAGTAAGGGTATTATTGCGATCGTGAAAATTTTTGAATCTGAGTCTTCAACGGAAATACACATTTTAAAACCCCCTGAGTCCAAATAATCAAGTCCAGCAAAATGGTCTGTGTGTCTGTGAACAGTACACTCAAAAACTGATATTACGTATTTAAGATAGGTATGTACATGAGATGTTACAACAACTTCATCCATAAAATCGATTAGCCGGAAGTGCCACTATATGTCAACGGTCATACAAATGTTTACAGTTGATGTCACTTTATAGAGCTTAAATGCCTAATGTTCAACACGTCTTAATCTAAAGTACCTTTAATTTAGTTTATTTTAAATAATTAAGTATTGGTAAAAGTTACGAAAAAATGTTAAGTATATCTTTTGAAAGAATTTGATAATTGAATAAATAAGAAAAAAATAAAAATGCTTATCCAGGACGAAAATGAATCTCCAGAAATAATAATCAAAAGGTACACGTATAAATATCGTTGGAAAGCCAGAAATTTTAGAAAAAAATAATATTTAATTAATAAGGTTGTAGGATGTAACGGGAAGTGACGAAAAAAATATATAAATAATAATTTCTGAAAACTAACGTTATTTACATGTTTCCAAGGAAATTAAATGAGATTTTCCTATTAAATGTAAACTCTTAACATTTTCTTTTTCAGTTTGAAAAAAAGTATTTAAAATCCACCGAATCAAGGCAATGGCATTGTTTAAAATACTATTTCATTGTAATAGTGTAGAAGAACGGAATTATATAAATATTTCATGGATATGTTTATAACCTTAAATACATTTACTGTTAATAATTATTTAATAATTCTAGATCTAATACTATATTTAAATAATTAGATATCTACATCCGTTTATTCCGAAAAATTACTATGTAACTCTTTAGAAAATTAAATTAGTTAATAGTTTGATGAATTCCCATCTTTTCTGAATCCCCATATCCTTTTCTGAAATCATACACTTAAAATTAGTGTGACAACTTTTGACCTATCTATTGCAGACAATGAAAATATCCTAATTTCGTTTTAGTTAACTTTACAATGGAAAATAACAGTTTAATAACTAATAGGCTAGAAGAGTCCATAATCATTTATTAGTTGAATATACGGATATACTTTCAAATCTCAAGAGAGTGGAATTGTGTGGTTTACATAATTGATAGGGATTTTGTTATTTTCATGGCCTTAATGGTTTGTCAGCTTTAAGCTTTAAGCTGTAGCTCCGTTAAAAATACACTATAAAAATGTTATATTAGCCCAACATTGCCAGAAAATAATTTCTATTTAAAGTAGAGCGGTAAATGAAAGTTTTGTGTTGAGCGCACCAGATTTTTATTAATAATATTATTATCGATTTTTTTAATAATTTTCCCGTGTGAAACGTGGAGTTTGGGGGAGACTCACCCTGTATAATGCAAATAGTTATTATGTATTATTCATATTCTATATCTATATTTTTCTGTATAGGTTCTATTTTGGGCTCTTTCTAACGGACGCTTATAAAATACAAAATAGGATTCGGCCGTGTGTATCTTCGGAATACTAATTCTTCCTGAAGCCAATTATGGAAGGGAGCGATAATATGAGAATTTAGTCACGAAGGATTAATGCCATGGAACGATATTTAAGAGATTATACTATTGAGATGAATGGATTGTCCAGGGACAATGGGCACTTCATTCCACCAGCACGTGTGTCGTCACGTCCCTTTGACCGGAAGCAGTTCGTCTCCCTCTCCTTATCAGGGCCAACACAGTGCCTTCTTGGTTCTGTTATTTCGTAACTCTGGTTGGATGGAATCCACCTCTAATACATAATTAGTACATCGCGAATTAAGTCCTTCCCTTTGGAAGTAAATACATAAATGCCATTATGTAGTAAAAAAAAAAAAATCTAAAGTGTATGATTTAGATGACACGATAGAAGTGAAAATGTTAACAAGGCGAGATTAATAATATGAAATATAAATTATAAATAACAGTTCATTATAAGAAGGATGAATGCTGAACAGTTCCCTCGCTTACAGTATGCAGGTACCAATTTTAATTTCTGGGATATTTTAATCCATATCTTCAACAAAACTAGTTATAATTTGGTTTTCGACATTATTTTTTCCCATTTCGCCTCTCTAACACGGCGTTGTATTAAGATACAATTTTGAACAATTGCTCATTACAAAGAGAATGAAATGATGAGCATTTCCTACCTAACAATATGCAGATCCGATTTATAGTTTTTGAGATATTTTAATCCATATGCAAAAACACTTTAATTAGTCGACTTTACGTTAGCGTTACACATCGGAGATCTGACGGCTCCTTATATTTTACTCTCCTCAAAAACAGTGCAATACGTGCCTAAAGAAGTTTTCACTTTAAAAATTCTGAATAGTTTTAAATTTTGTATGATTATTGAAAGTACCTGAATCACAGGTAGAACGATACTATCACTACACTACCAAAGTGATGACATCGAATTTATAATAAATTATAAAATTAAATTATTTCCACAAATCGTGTTGGCTTTTAACCGCGACTTCGCCTGTAAATACTTCTTTTTCCGACATTAAGAATTCAGTTTAGTCTGATCATAGTTTTAAGTTTATTATTAGAATAGCTATAATGCATATAACAACTTTAGTTGACCGGACATTAGGCAAATATTTGAATGCAATTTCTATAAAACGTAAAATATTCTTGCTGATACTTGTCAAATTTTGGAGATTCTTCTTCCATTTTGTTATGAACTATTACAATACTCTAGTGAGCACTCTCACATTAGATAGATATCCTTCTTCTTAATCCATCTGACGTATAAGCGACATCATTTATACAATATGATATTTTCAAAATAATCAATTCAACACACACAATTTGTGAATCCTCAAGCGTTATCAAAACTCTTAAAGTAATAATTTACTAATTAAGTGATTAGCTAGTCCTTCAGGAAAATATCCCTGCAGTTCATTAGTTAGGCACAGTTATCTCTGAACTTATACTAATCCATTATTGTACTCGCTCAAGATCAAGTTGTTTGATGCCGAAGAGCATTGGTTTGTGGTACTCTCATTTCGGAACAGTATATTACTCTACTACTGAAATTATAGAAGCCCATATCTTGATTTTTGTTGTTTAATATCGTATCCAATTTTTAATAAATATCTAAAAAAGTTTCTTTCTACATTAATCGAAGTGCCCAAAGTGTCAGAGAGCTATTCTTATTCCTTTACCTGTTCAATTTCTTTTTAGTTAGTTCGTCAAAGTCTATCATAAGTATACCATGACAACCAGAGCACCTAAGAGACATTCCATAAAAATGATGATTTATCTCCAAAACGGGACATTTTTTAGCTTTAAAACGTCAACGAAAAACGACGTAAGGTCGGCAATCTTTATTTATGTAATTAGATAATAAAAACTCGTAAATACTCATTTGCTTTTCACTTGGATCGTTAGATACTTCGATCACAAAATCAAGAAAAAATGTGACCTACAAAAATATTGCGCCATTTGGCCGATATAACTTCGCTATTTTGACATTTTGGGAGTGTAGGTCACGCCGAATGGCTAAATATTTTTGAAGGCCACCTTTTTCCCGATTTTGTGATCTAATTATCTTACGATGCAAGTGGATAGAAAATAGGTATTTAGGAATTTTTAGTACCTAAGTTAATAGACAACGTTTGCTGGTCTCTTGATTGAAAACGCCCCAATTCCGAGAATTTTCATAAATAATACAGTTGTTGGATAAGAGGAGATGAAGCTATTAACGAAGTTTCAGGTGGATGTTAATAATTCGATAAAAAGGGGTTTGTACCACGGACTATGTTCTTAGGGAACAATGTCTCGTAATATAATTAACATTTCTTCTTCTTTTTATTGTTTCGAACTATCCTATGAAAATTATTCTCCAAAATTGTGCATGTGCGTGTGTGTTTGTATATTTATCTACATATTAATGTATTGATCACTCGCAGATTCAGGGTGTGTGGGCTTCCGTGCTATCTCTCTTCTCTCACTTTCTCTTTCTCTCTCTCCCAAAATATAAACATTTATTATTTTTTTTAGTGGTAAAGTACAACTAAAATACTATAATAAATGGGAAAAAAGCATTTTTACCACTTGTTAACACACTAAAACTACACTATGTATAGTAGGTATAAATCCTTATTCCAGCTCTTAGGAGCGATGGATTTGATGAGTGATATCTAAGGAAAGAAAATTTCACAGATAAGTGACAAATACCAAATTCAAAAATTAAAACCTTACGACAACTACAATAAAAGCCCTTAAAAAAAATTTAAAAGGTTTCAAAACTGCTACTTTGGTAAGTTGATGAATCGAGATGAAATTAATTACCTTTCTATGACCTCAACGCGGAGCTCTGGATTTTAAATCCCAGAAATGCAACGTTTTCAAGATAAACCGTGTTTGATCTTCCAAGCCTCCTAGATGCTATGGGATGCTTATCACGTGGTTAGGTTTTCAAAATTAAAATATTTCTATTTATAGATAGTCTTCGCTGAACAAAAGTCTATTGTAAATGGACGAGAATAACTCCACGATATCTTGGGCATTTCGGATAATACAGAAAAATACTTTTTTGGTCATTTTAATTTTAAGATATATATATAGGACTTGGAAACTATCAGTAATATACTTCTATACTTTTAGTAAGTGAGATAACTAGAAAACAAGGCTATTCTACACCAGAAAAATAGGTCTTGATTCTTGGACTAGAATAATAGTCCATATTTATCAAATTATTAATATCCCCCCCCCCTGAAACATTGTGAATAGTTTCAAATGATCATAACTTACAAATATTTTATTTACGAAAATTCTCAGAATTGGAGCTTTTTGAGTCTGAAGATCGGAAAACTTTGTCTATTTAATTAGGTACTGAAAACTAAATAGTATCCATTTACTTTCCTCTTCAATTGTAAGATGTTCACAAAATCGAAAAAGAAAAAAAAAAGTGACCTACAAAAATATTGGGGCGTTTGTCCTATGTAACCTCGTTCAGCCAAACGAACCAATATTCTTATAGGCCTACTTTTTTTAATTGACTTCTTTCTGCGCATTATACACTTTGTTTTTAGGAGAGTGAATTGGACTGAGCCGTCAGGTTTCCGATGTGTAACGCTCAGGTAAAATCGGCTGGAGTCGACTAATTGAAGTGTATTTACATTATTATAATATGTCAAAAACTAAAAATGGGAACCGCATTTTGTTAGCGAGAAAAATGTTTATCATTTCATCCTCGTTATAATGAGCTATTGTTCAAAACGCGACGCCGTGTTAGGGATGCGAAAAAGAAAATGTAGTGCGGAAAACAATTTATAACGAGTTTTATGGAAGATATGGATTAAAATACCTCATAAACTAAAAATTGCACCTGCATATTGTTAGGTAGCAAATGCTCATCATTTCATTTTCTTTGTAATAAGCTATTATTCAAAATTGTATCTTAACACAACGCCGTGTTAGAGAGGCGAAAAAGGAAAACATAGTGTGGAAAACAAATTATAACGTGTTTTATTGAAGATATGGATTAAAATATCTCATAAATTAAAATTGGAACCTGCTACTGTAAGCGATGGAAATGTTCAGCATTTCATCGTCTTTATAATGAGCTATTGTTTATATTTTATATTTCATATTATTAATCTCGCCATGTTGATTTTTTCACTTCTATCATGTGGTGATCATTTTAGCTTACGATTCAAGTGGAAAGCAAATGGTATTCATGAGTCTTTATTGCCTCAATTAAACATACGGTATTTACCAATGTCCAGATTAAAAACGCCCTAATTCCGAGAATTTTCGTAAATAAAATATTTGTTGGTTCCGATGAGATGAAGCTATTTACGAAATTTCAGGCGGATGTTAATAATTTGATAAAAAGGGGTCTGTACCACGGACTACAAGTTAAGGTATATTTTGTGTCTTATCGCTTGACTATTAAAATGGAGGCTCATTTTCCATTAGGGCAAGCCACTGGCGGATCCAGGATTTAATTTTTGGGGGGGCAGATTTTTTTTCATATACATATAACAATAATTAAGTAGAAAAAAAAATAAAAGAAATTAACTACCTATATGAAATGGTGTTTAAGTGGTTCTTGAAGTCCTATTAAATGTAATTACACGAACAAGAATACTTTAAGAAATAGTTTTTAATATTTTTTTCTGTAAAACATAGTTATATTTTACCATTTTGGGGGGAGGGGGCTTCAGCCCGAAAGCCTTCCCCTCCTCCCCGTAGATCCGCCTGTGGGGCAAGCTAATCGCTTCTTAAGTAAATTCTTAGTTCAACAGTAATGGTAAAGTACGAAGCTTCATCAATTGTGAGTGTTGGATAGTTTATTGATAATAATATATTATAAAAAGGGATAAAACTGTTTCGCGATGTCACACATACGTGTGGGATAGCTCTGTAAAGTCAGAGTTCTCACTTACTAATATAATACTTATTATAAACCTTGTAATGTGTAAATATGAATTAATTAAATATCAAAGACAAAAAAATAAATACGATTCCTCCATTCATTTAAAATCCCCATTAGAACTATCTGCTATTATTTTGACAATTGAAAAAAGCATCCATTTACCTGACGCTGATCTGCTTATTACTTTCACTGGGATGATCATGGGCCAGTTTTTTTCTCCAAGTATTTGCGTAAATCATGAATGCGTTTGGAGGGCGAGGTATCTTTATGTTAGACTTCACTAGTCTGATAGCATTGTTGTGCCCAGTTATGTCGTTCACAGATATTACTTTGGCACTGCTAGGACCAGCTTTACCTGTAAACAGAAAAGTAAACACAATAAATCAATAAATGGGCAAACACAAAGGGTTCAGCACCTTTTATTCAACAGATTTTCTTTCTTATTTTTTTTTTTTTAATAGCTATTGACGAGATTTAGTGTTATCAATAAATAAAAATATGAAATAGTGTTTGTAAATAAAAATATAAAGGGTAATCGGGACTATTACTTGAAGAGATGATATCATTGAATGTTAGTAGAATGTTACCTCATAAATTAAATTTAAAAATAAATTCTACATCTCTGTAATTTCCGTGTCCGAAGTGTATAACTTGGACCACTAGACACAAAGAAATCTCTAGAGAAAAAAATAGATGCTTGGTGATATCAATGGAAATTCACAAAATTGCACTTATTACGTACGCTGTTCACAGGTGCCACAGATATAAATTCAATATGGAATGTCATAGAAGTGTAATTTTTATGGAAGTTATTAGAGTTTCGTTCGGCTTTCGACTACTACACCATGTGTGAACAGTCTAGCTCAAAAATAAAAAAGTCGTATGTAACTGAAATTTCGTGTTTAAGTTTGTACATGCCTGGAATGTTACAGCAACCTTTTCATCAAAATCAGCTTACCGGAAGTGCCACTTTATACCATCGATTATACACAATTTTCTCGAAAACTGCTCAAACGATTTTGAATAAATTCATTATATCAGTGTAAAATTAAGAAATTTTTAATATAATGTTGGTATCATTCTTATTTATTTTGTGTAACAGTGTTCCACATTGGAAACTAATATAAAAAATGGTTAAGTTTAATAAATGAAGTAAATTTATTTGTAACTAAAGAAGAAATAAGGTTTGGAAGCTATATAAGCCTGGAGCAAGACCCTAAAAATCGACCTCATCGTAGGCGAATGTTTTATTATAAATTTTTGTGTTATTTTGTGTAAAAAATAACCTTGTCTGCAATTCCTAAGCCGCTGCTTTCAAAACTGGCGGCTGATTTAAAGAATATTAGTCAGTAATTTGAGAATCGAAACGGGAAATCCATCGCGAAAAGTGTGAGAAAAGCTTATAGTTTTTTTAACTTATATATAGGTTTAGACATGTAAAACACAAAATTGCTAACGCAGGACACCAAAGAAAAACTTTTTGCAGCCGAAAAATTCAGATTTTTTTTTCACCTACAACTCCTAAACGATGCCTCAAAGCGAAAAATGTAATTTTTAGTAAATTAAAAAACGTTAAATTGTGCTTCGAACGGTACATAAGCTTTATAATTTGGTTACACGGTAACGTATAAAACCACGGTCAACCAACGCTGATTTTTATCAAATGTGTCAAAAACTGTGACAGATTACTATAAATGGGCCTGTAACTTTGAAATGAGTTCCGTAAGAGGAAAAACAATCAAAGTTGTAGAGAACCAAATATTGCGTCCGGTGAGTACCAACTAATTGAATGAAGATCACTTACTCCGAACAAAATCGGTAATCTCTAGTTAGAAATTGCTAATGAAAACAAACGTGATATTTCGATATTTCAACAGCATAGGTGTCTGTTCTACTCAGTTATTTTTGTTTAGAGTCTGTTACATGCAGTATAAGTCTCTTTTCCACCTCTCAGCAGTGAAGGATTTTGATAAACGATGTGTCGAAAGATACCGAATTTTGTAAAGGAATAACGAATCCCGATTCGAGATATATAATTGGCCTACTATAGAAATGTCAGTACTATACTGGACACAAAATTTGAAGCCCTATAACTTTGATTCTATGTGGTTTTCCTCTTAGGAAATTCATTTCCAAGTTAGAGGGTCATTTATGTTAATTTGTTTGTTTGTGTGAGTAAATGCATATTTATTTATTTATATCAAATTAAAATTCAATATTGAAGATGCAATACGAGATTACAATCATATGAGCAGTTTATTTTGAAAGTGGCCTAACTCCGTTTTTCAATTTTTTGCCAGTTACCATGGTTACATGTACAACTTCATACTATATATCAGTAAAACATTTCAGGTTGCTTATATTCCGAGCAAATACGATAAATTTTGGACACATAAGTTTTCAGAATTAGTTCAATAACTAAACCGTGTAGTTTGAAAGTGGCCTTACTCCATTTATTCTATACTTAAATCAAGATATTTACTATTGATAATGTTGGAAAGCAGCGATGAAGAGAATTTCAATTAATAATTAGTATTTACAAGTTAACATAATTTTTTATACAATTTTTTAGTTGAATAACCTGTGCTTTAATTAATATAAAACTTAAAATTTAATAATAAATTATATAAATTGTTTCACCCATGTGGAAGATCGAAATAAGACCATTTAGTTCAGATAGTAAAGAAGAAATAGTAGCTAATGATTTTTAAAAAAATCGAAAAGAAACAGAATTATAGAAAATCTTCGTCTTCAGAGGATGAAGACCTGAATAACAATGGAGAAAAGATTGATGTATCATACATCCAAAAATTGCGAAATATTAAACGAAATTCAGGAAAAAGATATTGAACTCAAACAGGAAATATTGTTCCTGAAAAAATGTTCCAAAACAAAGATTGCAGTTGTCGGAATGCTTGCATTAAAAAATTACAATGAAGGAGAAAGAAAGAATATTTTTGATTTTAACAAACAAAATATTCACGAAGCTACCGAGCGCAAAATTGTGAAACGAAGACGTCCAACAAACGGAAAAGGTTCGCCAAGAAATTGGAGTTTTAGATATTTGTTAAATTCTAAATACGGAAAAATTCCCGTCTGTAGAAAATTCTTTTTGGATACTTTTAAAGTAAGTGAATGGCGCTTAAAACGATTATTAAACTCAGCAAATGTGGGCAACGATTTACGTGGGAACATAGTTGGATCATTAAGACAATTATTACCTGAGGAAGAGAAAAAGCACGTTCATAAACATATTATAAGTTTTCCTAAATTTCAATCCCATTATACCAGATCCCATAATCCTAATAGAAGATATTTACATCCTGATCTAATTCTCAGGAAAATGTTTAATTTATATGAGCTTCATTGTGAGGAAAATAAAATAAAAGCCGTTAAAGAGTGGACAGCCGCTCAAAGATACATGCCAAAAATGCGACTTATTAAACATTAAAATTAAAGCATCGAGTGATGATGAAGAAAAGAATAAACTCACCGAAGAACACGATGTCCATTTAAGACTAGCAGAATCAGCTAGAAATTTACTAAAACAAGATCAGGAGAAAGGATCACGTAATTCACATTATTACTTTGCTTTCTCGTTCGACTTGCAAAAAGCATTACCGTATCCCAAGCTGACCACCTCAGTAGCATATTACAAAGCCAATATGTATGATCTAAATTTGGGTATTCACAATTTTCATAACGATAATGTTTACATGTACGTTTGGGATGAAACTATTGCATACAGAGGTGCTCAAGAAGTTGTTTCATGCATCTTAAAACATGTTAAAAATTAAGGAAGTGAAAAACATATTATAGCTTACAATGACATGTGCACTCGGCAAAATAGAAACATTAAATTAGCTTTAATGTGGTTAAAAATTGCCCAAAGTTCGGAAAATAATGTGGAAATCATAGATCACAAATTTTTAATAACAAGACACTCGTTTTTACCAAATGATAGAGATTTTGGTGTGGTAGAAATGTCATTAAGAAAGAATAATTTACTGTTCGTTCCAATCTTCGTTCAAGATTATTAAAAAGTGTCGAAAAGGTAATAATTTTATTGTAAATGAAATGAGACAAAAAGATTTTGTATCAACAAAATTATTAGAAGACGCAATTTTTAAAAGGGTAAAGAATTCTGATGGAGAATCAGTAAACTGGTTACAAATAATTTGGATGCGTTTTATCAGAAATGAACCGTATAAAATTTTCTATAAGAAAACAATGAATGAGAATGAAAATTTTAAAGTCCTGAATTTATTACCACGTCGGGGTAGACCAAGAAAATTCGAAAATATTGTATTGACACCACTCTATAAAAATATCAGACAAATTACAACAACAAAATTTAAGATGATTGGCCTATTGCGATATATACCACCGGAACATTATGACTACTTCAAATGCCTTTCATACGCACAAAATGTAGATGAATAGTAATGTTAATAAAATGTTTGTAATTTTGTACGTTCTGTAATTAAAAAATGTTTTGAATCGCATAAATTGTGTTTCCGAAGTGTTATAAAGATATGTATTGTGTTTTTCAATTTGAAGCATCTTAAATTATGTTGAATGGACTTGGGTGTATTCAAATTTTATAATGAATCTGGTTGTTAATTTTGAAAGTGGCCTAGCTCCATTATTGATAAGAAAACGCACATTATTCATTTAATAATTGTTACTATTTTAATAGGAACCTTAAATTTAACACCCTTAGATACACTTAAGCAGTATGACTCATTAGTATCCTATACGTATATTTTTAAATTCATTGAAACGCAAACCCTTAAATATCTCGATTCGAAGATAAATGTAGGTAGGCCTCTTTCAAAATAAATGGCTTATATGTTTATTTTCAACGTACAAAACAACAAAGACTACCACGTTTGTAGCCTTCCACCATACCCTTTGATAATTCTCTTCATAGATGTTCACCGATTCCTAGAAACCCATTTCCCCTTCAAGTCCTAGGTAAACATCATACTAAGTTTCTAATTCGGTTTTCTACGTTCTTAGCAAGAGTTCATATTTCTGTTTATTTAAAATGACCAAGGTATCTTCGTTATTTTCATCAATGTTGAAATCTTGAATTGAACTTTACAACAACATACATGAAAGAGTTTTAACAACTGATGGAAAACCAGTATCAGGCCAAGTGGGTGAAACTTTAAATTAAAAAATGGAAAAAGTTTTTATAAAAAATTCAGGTCTCACAATTCTGGAATGTATTAAT